TATTACTATTACTACTACTACTACTACTACTACTACTACTACTACTACTACTACTACTACTACTGTCACTACTACTAATAATAATACTCCGATTGCTACTACAGTTTTTCCCAACCATCCTGTGGTGTTGGGTCCTCGTTTTGAAGAGACAGCGCCCCGCGTCCACTCCTCCCGCTGCCCCTCCCCCTCCTCCTTGCGTTTCACCCACCCAGCACAGCGTTTCGTAGCCCCATAGGGAGCTCCACCGAAGGCCCCAGTGGCAGGGTTCGCATGGCGGCCTCGGGCCATTTCGGCACACCCCTCACGAGGATCGTGGCCCCATAGGGAGCTCCACCGAAGGCTCCAGTGGCAGGGTTCGCATGGCGGCCTCGGGCCATTTCGGCACACCCCTCACGAGGATCGTGGCCCCATAGGGAGCTCCACCGAAGGCGCCAGTGGCAGGGTTCGCATGGCGGCCTCGGGCCATTTCGGCACACCCCTCACGACGATCGTAGACCCATAAGGGAGCTCCACCGAAGGCGCCACTCGCAGGGTTCGCATGGCGGCCTCGGGCCATTTCGGCACACCCCTCACGAGGATCGTGGCCCCATAGGGAGCTCCACCGAAGGCGCCAGTGAGAGGGTTTGCATGGCGGCCTCGGGCCATTTCGGCACACCCCTCACGAGGATCTTGGACCCATAAAGGGAGCTCCACCGAAGGCGCCAGTGGCAGGGTTCGCATGGCGGCCTCGGGTCATTTCGGCACACCCCTCACGAGGATCGTGGCCCCATAGGGAGCTCCACCGAAGGCCCTAGTGGCAGGGTTCGCATGGCGGCCTCGGGCCATTTCGGCACACCCCTCACGAGGATCGTGGCCCCATAGGGAGCTCCACCGAAGGCCCCAGTGGCAGGGTTCGCATGGCGGCCTCGGGCCATTTCGGCACACCCCTCACGAGGATCGTGGCCCCATAGGGAGCTCCACCGAAGGCGCCAGTGGCAGGGTTCGCATGGCGGCCTCGGGCCATTTCGGCACACCCCTCACGAGGATCGTGGCCCCATAGGGAGCTCCACCGAAGGCGCCAGTGGCAGGGTTCGCATGGCGGCCTCGGGCCTTTCGGATCGTGGCCCCATAGGGAGCTCAGTGGCAGGGTTCGCATGGCGGCCATTTCGGCACACCCCTCACGAGGATCGTGGCCCCATAGGGAGCTCCACCGAAGGCGCCAGTGGCAGGGTTCGCATGGCGGCCTCGGGCCATTTCGGCACACCCCTCACGAGGACCGTGGCCCCACTGGAGCTCCACCGAAGGCGCCAGTGGCAGGGTTCGCATGGCGGCCCCGGGCCATTTCGGCACACCCCTCACGAGGATCGTGGCCCCATAGTTGTGCTGCTTCAACAACCGCGCCTGGGCGTCGTACTCCGCCTTGTCGACGTGCAACGCCACCTCCTCCCTCATGGCTCTCAAGGCCCTTTCCTGCTTCTGCTCCTCGGTGAGAGGGACGCCGTCCTTGTCGTCGTCGGCGCCCGCGAAGACGACCACGAACGTGTCCCTGAGCATGTCGGGCTCCGGCGGGAAGCCGTGGCCACATAGGGAGCGCGGGCGAAGATGGTATTCACAATTGCGGTATTCATAATTGCATATGGTTGGGTCTTTCGCCCGGATAATTTTTTCTGTTACTACTTCTATTATCACCACCACTACTAGTACTAATACCGCTACTACTACTACTACTACTACTACTACTACTACTACTACTACTACTACTACTACTATTGCTACTATTACTACAGTTACTACTTCTTCTACTACTACTACTACTACTACTATTACTACTACTACTACTACGACTACTGCGGCTACTATCGCTACTAACTACCACTACTTACTAAACTACTACTACTACTGCTAACTACTACTACTACTAATACTACTACTACTCTACTACTCGTACTACTCTACTACCTACTACTTACTACTACTACTTACTACTACTACTACTACTACGACTACGACTACTACTACTTCTTCTTCTCTACTACTCTTAGTACTACTACTACTACTACTACTACTACTACTACTACTACTACTACTACTACTACTACTACTACGACTACTACTACTACTAGTATTACTTGCGTCGCCGCGGCGGAAATTAGTTTCCCCCTAATGTTGGGCGGACTGGATCATGTTTTGGAGCCTTCCTCTCATGGAACGCTACAGTGTGGGCGACCCTGCATGCGAGAGGATTCCCGCGCATCTTCTCATGAGGATTGCAATCGAAAAAAGTGGTTGTGGTCGTAAACGTGATTGTAGTCGCGACTGTAGTCGAAGGTGTCGTCGTGGTTGGAGTCGAAAGCGTAGTCGTAATCTTGGTCGTGCTCGTAAGCGTCGTCGTCGCGGCGGAGATTATTCTCCCTCTCTCTCTATCTCTCTATTGTTGGGCGGGCTGTGTAATGTTTGGAGCTTCTTTCTCACAGGGAATCGTGCTCCTTTGGGTACCCTGCGCGACAGAGGGGTTTTCCAGCACTTTTTTTTAGGAGCATTGCAATATAGAGATCCACACACTCATCGCCGACGGCGTTGCTCACAATCTCCTCATTCATTTCGTCGTTGTCGTCGTTGTTGTGTGGCGGGCGGGTGCCGCGGGTGAATCGCTATTTTCCGCTATCGGTGGGGCCCCAGTTCGTCAATTAGGACGTCGAAGCGATAATTCGTTCCAACTGTTGGGAAGGTCCTCGAGACCTTTCACGGTCAGGGCACGGCCTGCCCACGATGCACCCGCTTTGCCGTTAGGACTCGGCGGCGAGCCCAGGGGGTCGGAGTAAGAGGGGACGGGATTTCCCACTTCGATGAACGCGAAGCAGTAAGTATTGATACATGGTTAGAGTGATGATATGTTAGAAATCGCTAGGAGGATTTAGGATAGGTTGGGATGTTGTTGAGGATTGGTTAGGGTGGCCTTTAGCTTTAGTGACGATTAGGTCGACGATTTCGCCTTATAGGGGCTATATGCTCCTATCATCAGCGATAGTCGCGAAGCCTACAACTGTTTATTTTCCATTATTGCTTCATTTTGTTTTCGCTATTTTTCGCTACGTTTCACTATTTTCATTTTCCGCATGTTTCACATTTTTTCATTATTTTTCAAGATTTGTAGTTTTTTTTGTATTTTTTTTTTTTGCGAGAGGCGGCGGTTCGCTCGACTCTCGAACCGTGCGCCCGACGATCTCTTCCGTCGAGCCGTGCGCTCGACATCCTCGCTTGAAGAAACGTTGCGTTCCTACCGTGTCCCTCCCGTGTCCTTCCCGTGTGCTTCCCGTGTCCTTGTCGTGTCCCTCCCGTGTCCCTCCCGTGTCTCTCCCGCGCCCATCCCGTGTCCCTCCCGTGTCCCTCCCGTGTCTCTCCCGCGCCCATCCCGTGTCCCTCCCGTGTCCCTCCCGTGTCCCTCCTTTGTCCGTGCCGTGTCCTTTATGCCACTCCTCCCGTGTCCCTCCCGTGTCCATCCCGTGTCCTTCCCGTGTCCTTCCCGTGTCCCTCCCGTGTCCTTCCCGTGTCCTTCCCGTGTCCTTCCCGTGTCCGTGCCGTGTCCTTTATGTCACTCCTCCCGTGTCCCTCCCGTGCCCCGCCCGTGTCCCTCCCGTCCCTCCCGTGCCCCCACTCCTCCCGTGTCCCTCCCGCGCCCCTCCCGTGTCTCTCCGCATGCTTCCTCCGTGTCCACCTTATTGGGTGTTATCTGGATGTTGTCTGGGTGTTGTCTGGGTGTTGTCTGGTGTTGTTTTGTGCTGTGCTTTGTTGTTTTCTGTTGTTGTTTGTTGTTGTTTTGTTGTCTTGTGTTGTCTGGGCGCGCCCGCAGAAACAACAAAAAAAACACCAAAACAACAATACACAACAATAAACAACATGGCGTATTTTGT